AGAAGTAGAGCTCACCCCCTGTAACTCGTCCACTTTCTGTCCTAACATTACGGGCGTGTTTGAACTATTTCAGCCCAGAACATTTATATGTATACCACACACTGTTTACGTTGCGAATAGCGTAATCGAAGGCTTACGCCTATTTCCCTAAATAACCTGAACAGAACTGAACTGAACGGAGCCCTAGCACTCAGAATAATGAATAGTTTAATAAACCTAGATCAAATAAATCCTAATGTTCCGGCAATCTGAAGATACTCCCAGATAGACGACACCATATAGAATATTTGACTGCGACAACTGAAAGAACATACGACTCAACTGCCCAAACTCCTGCTTTTCTAGCATTCAAATCTGTGTTTTTTCGCGGGAACCACAAATACGTTCATTTTTATCCTTCGACATTGCGCAGTGTGTAAACGTCTGTTTTTCCTCCACGAAAGTCCATTGGAGGTTCACCAAAGGATAGAGGGGTGCTATGTTGTTCAAACTGCTGACAGGACAGACACAGTCTCAGTTGACACCAATGAGTACCGTCCATGCAGAATCAACATCGTATTGAATGGCAAATACAACAATAAGATAACCTGCTTTGAATGCATACCGTCTCCAGATGTGCAACCCAAATCCTCTAGAGTGTCGTCACCGGAGTTATCTATTTCATTCATCCATCCAACTGTCAAACACAACAATTCCACCCAACCATGCCCACTCGTCTGACCCACCGCCATCCCAGACCCCGTCTCGTCCAGGTAGACGTATTCAATGCCCAATAAAAATTAAGGCAATTAGTCATGTGACTTGCCGCATTTTATTCATTGTTTGGAACAGAAAATGATAAGGGCAAAAGCCGTCGAGGACTTTTCGCATTTCCTTCTTCCGTTTTCTAATTCATTGAGTGACTGGACATGTCTGCAATCTTGTTTCAATACACACGACACCTACAGCAATAGAAACGACGCGCGTGTTACCATTTGCTTACTACTTTACGTTGGGGCCTAACACAGCAGATTTCCGTGGCTAACGCTCAAAGTCTTCCATTATCTGCTTCCTCACACAATCAAAACATTCGTTTTCAAAACAAATTGATTCGGAAAATGACGTCACTTTCGGTGAGTTTGCAAATCGTCCATGCTGTCTTATTACAGGAAAAGGAGCACGAATTAATTCGTTTTCTGCAGGCTACTGTTCAGTTTAGAACCATATCAACGTCCTTCCAGCGACAGTGCTATCGTAGTTCTATGACCCGCTATGATTTCCTTTGCAGGTCTGATGGACCGTTGACCTTTTAGACGCCGTATGCGTTTACGTTATTTTTTCATGTCAGTTTAACAGCTTTGAAATCTCTCACAGTCATTGACCCCTCTGTCCGTACCTGCTCATGTACTAACGTGCATTAGAAAGCAACACCTTCAAAGGTGTTTGCCTGCAGGTGTCTTGGCAGCACTTGTAGCTGGTCGGTAGGACTCATCCTGCACAACCCACTGAGTTGTGGTCTTCATTACTAGATCATGTTTTAGTATGTGGACGAGATTGGAACTTCAGTTTCTGACTGCGTTTTGTTTGGTGGTCAGCGCTGGATAAAAGAAGTGAGACTAGTGCTAGGACTCTGCCTTGAGACTGACGCTAAATTTGACTGGTCATGCTTTCTCGGGGAGATGTGCAAGGTTATTATAGCCAGACGACATTCTATATGGACGGACTTGTGGATGCCATTCAATGTGCTTAGGGCTAACAACGACACCCAAACTTATTTTAGGCAGTCAACCCACATCTCGCGTTGAAAACGGGCTACATATGCTACCACTACTACACTGGTTTATTGAAGGTGGATTGTTCAATTGGGACCCCAGAAATCACTTGCCTCTGCAACGCTGAGCATTCACTTCCAGAGACGTGAACGAAACTCCTCCATCCCCTACAAGGCATCCTCCCTGTCCTATTGCCTAGCGCATAGGATAAGTATGAGAAAAGTAATTGATATTTTGCAGTCTCAGAAGGCCGCTCTGTGTTACTATGTGAAACAGTAAGTACGTGCGTGTGTAGGTTTGGCATGTTCATTTAGCAAATTGTCCTTTTCCCGTTGTTTCTTTCTTGTAGGTATTCTAGGGCCAATCATGTACAATGATGTTGGGGGCGCTCACCGATCGTTAATACGGAACTCACTCGTTCCGTTGTGCCTTATGGACTCTCTCTCGATCCCAACCAGCAGCCGCACAGCGGCGCATGATATATAGGCAGAATGATATTACCGACAAAGACAAGGGAGACTGGAATGTCCATTTCTGGCTTATTAGTCGTCGTCAGCCAGCCATACGCAAGCCCGAAGTGTGGAGGACCCGAGCCTCGAACTCGCGACCTGTTGGTTTAGAAGTCAACGCCTCTACTCACCGGACCACGAGCCCGTTGCCCTGTCGGTTTTCGATCGGGAATATACAATGTTAGGGGGCGCTCACCGATCGTTCATACGGAACTCACTCGTTCCGTTGTGCCTTATGGACTCTCTCTCGAGCCCAACCAGCAGCCGCACAGCGGCGCTGATATATAAGCAGAATGATATTACCGACAAAGACAAGGGAGACTGGAATGGCCATTTCTGGCATATTAGCCGCGAGTTCGAGGCTCGGGTGTTCCACACTTCGGGCTTGGGTATGGCTGGCTGACGACGGCTAATAAGCCAGAAATGGCCATTCCAGGCTCCCTTGTCTTTGTCGGTAATATCATTCTGCCCATGTACAATGAGCTCGTTCCAGCTACATGTTCAGCACGAGTTCCCATCCTAGCAGTTGCAGTTCACTCAAGGTAGAGTTTCAAGTCAGCTTTAATGTGCTTATGCTTTCAAACGTGTGTACTTTGTGCTGGTAGTTTATCTTCCTAGATTATATTTCATTAAAGGCGGTGTAAGGAAGTCCTTCTGATATATTACAATATTCAGGAGTAGACAGTTGTGAACAGTCCTTCAGTTTATCTGCTAGCATTTTGTCACGCACAGTCACCCACAGAGGAGGAGTGATTGGACGGATACCCGGTGTTTGGGTCTTCGTGGCGATAGCGATGTCAGGTCCCGTGCAACTACACATTCTAAGGGCTGTAAAAACCCGACGAACAGCATGCAATCGTGAGACGATGCCATCCTTACTCTTCCTTTATTCCGAAGTTTGATAGCCAATAATGCTGAGGGATGCCTTCTTCCTTAATTCGCCCAGTGGCTCCAAAGCTGTTCTTTGCACTGCTTCCTCTCTAGCTGTATCCACAGGCTACTTATCATTCTACACTTTAGCCACCCTCCTGATGGACCCCAGACCTTATTTATCACACTCTTCCTCCTCCGAGATTGTTTCGTAGGGATATTGGACCATGGCTAATTATCATTTTTTGAAATTATGGATGTCGCCGCAATGCATTTGGACTCGAAGTAACTTCACACCGTTGGTATGCTTACCCATACAATTTTCGTTTTATTAGGGCTTTCAACATCCCTTGAATACTGTCCATTTCTATGTCTTTCTACTTTTTACTGCGCCCCTCTTTTCCCGTAATCATTTCCTCCCTAATAGCAAGCGAGCTCGCCGCGATCAAGCCTACTCTAGGGGGGTAATGAGTCTTTAGCCTGCTCGCGATTTGATTGGTTCATCTAAGAGTTGCGGGAAATGCCGTCGTCGGACACATCATTGACGACTCTATGTCCTCAACGTCTCTGGAGAACGAACGCTCTTCTTCTTTGGAGGGTAACAGTGCGACTACGGACGAAGAAGTTGGTTCAACGGCGGAAGTAGAGGAGAAGGATGCAAGCGCTCGTGAAGCTGTGCAAAAGTGGGCTTTACGGTCGAAAGCTCCCCATTCGCACTTAAACGATCTGCTTAAGGCTTTGAAACTGTGGTTGCCGGACCTCCCAGGTGACGCACGAACGCTGTTGTGCGCGGCATACTTCTCTGCACCGATCACGGCAATGGTCAGTGGTAAGTACATGCATTTGGGTCTTGCCGCTCAGGCGAACGCGCAGTTGCGTAAACTAGGCCGACCCCGTTCAGTAGAAGAAGTAGTTTTCAGCCTAGCAATAGGTGGTCTTCCAATCCCTAGGAAGACTAAGCGTGAATTTTGGCCTATTTTAGGCAGAAATATGAAGCCAATATAAAGTAATGTTTTCACAGTAGGTATATACTGTGGAGTAGGTAAGCTTTCAGACGTGTAGGCGTTCTGCAAACCGCTTGTGGACGATTTATTGTCGTTGAATAAAGACGGTTTGCGGCTCGATGCGGGCGACACAACTCCGCGCTTCCCTCTGGCTTCCGTCATCAGTGACGCTCCAACAAGAGCTTTCATTAAGCAGATTAAGAATGTTAATGCTTACTGTGGCTGCGAACGCTGCTGCGTTAAGGAGGAGTACTTTGACAAGATAGGTTATGATAGTGTCTCCGAACATGCTAGGTCAGGTGAGGATTTTTTCCCGTGGACAATGACTGCCACCGCATTGGCGTGTCGCCATTTCTGGCGTGCAATGTAGGAATGATAAGCTCCTTCCCCTTAGATCCTTTACATTTGGTTTACCTAGGTGTTATGAGGAGACTTCTCAACTTGTAGCTACGAAGCCCTAGGGACAGTGCATATAGGTTGTCCACATCGGCAGTGT